AGCCATCACTGGCGTAGAGCCTATGGTGTGGCACCAACCCCACCCCGCCTCCCGCCTTGCCTGATCTGTTGGGTGGTAGAGCTGCCCAACCTCATCAACAAAAGTGCGAAAAGAAATGCCGAGAAGAAGGAGGGGAAGGAGGAGGAGGAATGTAAGGACGGGAAAGAAGGCGAAGTAATAGTATTAGTAACCAGGTTTTCCATTTGTAAATTGAAAGCATTAAATTAAGGCCCCGTGTGCGCTGTCTCCTGTGCTACCCACCCCCCATGGCTGATGGTGGGGTGAGGCGGCAGTGGCACAGCAGCAGCAGGAGTACCGGCCACTGTGGCTGCAAGCCGCAGTGGAACGGGAGTGGTGGCAGGAGGTGCCTCGCTGGCTGCCGCTGCCAGGTGAAATGGGGAAGGAGCTGTTCTGACCACCGCTGCCACCAGCATCAGGACTCCGCAAGGCCCATCACCCCAATAGTATTCTTGGCCACCCGTCCGGACAGGGCCCAGGATTGGAGATGGGTGGCATTGCGGGGCCCGAGGGGGGATGTGAATGCAGGAATGATGGAAACTGCCCAGCAGGAGCCAGCAGTCTCCTTCTTTGCGGGGAAGGCTGGGCAAAGGCTGGCCAGCACTTCACAGAGCAGCCTGCCTGTGTGTCCTGCTCTGTGCTCCACCCATCCACAATCCAATGGTCAGTCCCGGATCTCTCTGAGGACAGATTTCAGGGCTGCTGCAGCAGGGGATGGGCAAACTTTGGGAACAGGAGAATAGCGAGGGGAGTATAGCTACAACAACGTTCTTTCACCAGAGCTCAAGGACAAGCTGCTGGCACCTGGAGAGGAGTGACCGAAATTTGGCGGCAGCTGAGACAGGAGACGGATTGAGCCATGTGACGTGGGAGTCACTAAATGGGACACGTTGTGAGTTTTAGTGTGTGTGGGGGAATGCGAGAATTCAGATTTAGGTTTTCCCCAGATGGGCCACCATGACTTCTCTAATAAATTCATACTTTGGTGGACTTTGTCTCGGAGTTCTGAATTGTATGGAGAGTTTACTCCATGCTGACACCAAAGATATCCCAGTTCAAGTAGTCTTCACTTAGTGACCGCAATTGGGCCTGGTATCTGTATCATTAACATGCCCGATCATTAAGCATGCTGTTACATGACGGTGACAACCTACACCTGCTCCTCTGCCATTGTTAAGTAAATCACTGTAGGTTGTTTAAGGCAATTTTACGTGGGACTGGCGACTTCTTGCCGGCATTGCCTCGTCAGAAGCTAGCTGCTCCTTCCGGTCACAAATGGGATCGTAAAAGTCACCGATTGGCAGAACCCAAATTGGTGCAACTTTTCCTGCACCTTCAGAACCACAGGAGGTGCTGAAGTGTGGTCACTGAAGAAGTGACACCATGGCCACAAATTTGTAGACCAGGTATATGTCCGCTTTTATAGTGCCATAGTAACTTTGAAGGCTCAGGGAAGAATTGGTAAGCAAGGACTGCCTACGCAACTGAACTTCACAAAATGGCCTCAACTGCTATTTTTTTTTTTTTTTAAATGCTGGCTTCAGCACAGTTGAACCTAGATAATTGATGAGGCTCCAATATGAAATACCATGTTTGTTAGCTAAACATAGAAGTTAAAAGAAAGTAAAATCACAAAAGAGACCAGTGGGTTTGGCTAATCCAGGGTTGTCAAACTCAAGGCCCTGGTTTAGTGAAGGGAGAAAAAGTCATGTGTTATGTGACGATGTAACATGCGAGTTTGACACCCCTGGGCTAGTCTAAAGAAAAGAAGTATTTGGGCTGACATGATAGCAATATTCCAGTACTTGAAGTGCCTTGCCTTTTATCGAAGCTTTATAGAGAGCATTTTATCCTATTGCCTCTGTGTGTGGTTCAGGAGTTGCACAGAGGCGGAGAAAAGGGCACTCCAAAGAGTGATAAAAAGGGCACAAAAGATCAGTGGATGCTCTCTTCTTGAGAGACCCTTCGCATCCAGGCCACTCGTTGTTTGAGATCCTACCATCAGGAAGACGATATAGAGTGCTGAAAGCCAGGACAAGTAGATTTAAACATAGCTTTTACCCAAGTGCTGTGATCAGGTTAAATGCAGAGTTATGAATCTGGTGGTCTTAACATATATATATCCCGGTTGTATAGCTTTTAACTGTTTTAATTTGTTTTATATTGTTATTTGTATATGTCTTTTGGTGTTGTTCAGTTGTATGTTGTGAAAGAGCACCTTATTTCGTTGTTCTCAGGTTCTGAGTACAATGACAATAAATTTATCTTTATTCATTCATTCATTCATTCATTCCAGTTCTATATTCATATTATTGCCAAGAAAAAAACCATGTCCATAAAATCCAAGGAATCAATCTTAACTTCAAGACCTTTTAAATCTTCCAGCAACAGAAAATTGCAGGCATCAGTTTTAAAGCACAGGTGGAATAAAATCTGGGGTGGGAAGGAAGATGTAGAGCAGCCTAGTTCCTGCTCTGCTTTTACACAGTGGAGGAAACCAAGCAGCCCTACTTGCTCCCAGCTTCTTCTCCAACCTGATCTCAACTCCCCTTCCAGCTTCTGCTTCCGCCCTGGGAAGAACAGGACTGGCATCCCCCACACCTCCATCTTTCTATGGGTGAGTTGGAAGTTCCTCTGACCGTAATCTCTCCTCGCGGGGTGGATTTGAATTAAACCAAGTGAATTTAAATCGTGATTTAAATCACCAGTAAAACTCTTGATTTAAATCAACCCAATTTAAATCATAATTTTTAAAGAGCAACTCCCATTTCTGTTCCGCAGCAGCTCCTCCTGGCCGACTGTTGACTCATCGACAGTCCCATTGACTTCAATGGGATGGTTGGTGGTGCAACAGTGACATAACAAGGGGAGGGAGGTGGCAGGCAGGTGAGTGGATGCCCGCTAACAGGCGCTGCCGTGATGGATCTGAAATGACAGGTGCTCCTTAAATGTTAAGAACTCATTCTTGCTGGTAGTTAGGATCTTTAATGTTATTACTTGCCAACAAAATGAAGGTTTCCTAATCAGCTTCAGAACTTGGATTCATTGAATGAATTTACCAACAATGCAAATATTGCAGAATACGCAGCCTCATGTTACATATAAATAAGCTCCATTTCATGCTGAATAAACTAAATAAAAAAACTATCTTTAGATAAATTTTTACTCCGAATTTTTTTATTTTTTAAAATACATCTGATAAAAAAAAATCCAATTTAATTAAAAAAAAACACCCAAATAATTACCTTTTTTCTACTTGTCTCTTCCACATCCTTTCTAGCAACACTCGCTGGTTTTAACTCTATCACTCCCATTGGATGAAGGCTCTCAGCCACCACCAATGCCCCTATGAGACTGGCCGTTTTCCAGGCCTGGTGTGGTGTGCTCCATCTAGTGACATAAGACTGAAAATACACTCATTCCATCCCTATCTGATACCTTTTAAGATTTTTTTTAGTGAAGTGCGTTTTCCACCCTTAGCCATAAGATGCATAACTTTTCTCCAGGACGATCTAGCCCCAGTCTGTCCTTTGGGGTGTCGCAGGGAGGCCCTCATTGTCACTGCAACTGAGCCTGGAGCTTCTTTTGCAAGAAGAAAAACAAGGGAAAGCATCCTTGTGGGGGGGAATACAACGTGCCATCAGACCACGAAAGCACACCTTCCTTGAGGATCCATGGAGAATATTCCAGGCAGTTCTTTGTACTGGGGGTGCAGGATAATGCCCCCAAACTAATTCTGCAACTGTGGGAAGCTTGAAGAGTGATGCTTGATCCTACTTAGCTTCACAAGATTACCAGCTGCATCAGCTTTAAACGATTGCCAGCTTCATCCCATTAATAAAAGAATATAGGACAAAATGTTGAAATTCCCCCACACCCACATGGATTTCAAATACATATGGGAGATATTATTTTTTCCACTTGCATTCATGCAGGGCCTAAATCTCACGAGAGGGCAGAATTCCTCTGAGGTACCAGTTTCCAGAGGAGACCAGTGCTGAATATTCCCAGGAGGCTTGTGAAAAACATTTGGAGGGCGCTAGTTTGTAGAAAGCTGATCTAAAAAGGTCCTGGGCTTTATAAAGGTTGGCTCTCAATGAACGGGCCTGGAAGCCACCCACTTGCCCACAGTTCTCACCTGCTGCCCTGGGATTCCTACCTCTTCCCACATCATGTCAACATGAGGTTCTCAATTAATGACCCACGGGGTGCTGGAATTGCAATGGCAACTGGAAGTCACTAAGTAACATGGTCACGGGATGTCATTTTTATAATGACACTCAACAGCAATGGAAATTCTGGCACCAATTGTGGTCACAACCTGAGAACTACCCATCTTTCTTTTACAAACTCAAGAGAGGGTTGGGAACAGTAATCTCCCCCCTTCTGGACAGTTGGAACCTGACTGGATTTATACCTTCAACAGCAGTTTGCTATCCATAAGAAAATCATGAGAGGTTTTCCTAGGAGTGTTCAAGGCATTGGTGTAGATTAAGATTTTTTTGTAACTGCAGCTGAAGAGAGCAATGAAAGGTTGGCAGCCTGGGTCTTCAACTCACCCTCTGCTTTCAGCTCTGACTTTGCCACCCAGAGAAAGGGAAGAGAAAGGCAACTGGGCCCTTCTCAGTCTGGATTCAGGTCGGATCACATCACCAAAATGGCATTGGTTGCAATTCTCATGGACTTTTGGAGGGTTTGAGATAGACAGACTACAACCGCTATGTCCTCCTAGACCTCTTATCAGGTTTCAATACCATTGACCATGATATTCTCTAACCTGTCATTACTGTCCCACCTTTATTATATTTGCATCTGTCTCTTACAATGTTTGCCTGCAACCTGGGTAGTTGAATCGTTACTCTCCTATGTGTAACCTGACATGATTTATAAGGCTGCACCTTGTACTGAAATCTTTCCCACAATCTGGACATTCATAGGGTTTCTCTCCTGTGTGACTCCTCCAGTGTATCGCCAAATGGGAATTCTGACTGAAACTTTTCCCACATTCAAGACACTCATACGGTTTTTCTCCTGTGTGAGTCCTGTGATGTTCCACCAGGTGGGAATTTTGACTGAAAGATTTCCTACAATCTGGACACTCATATGGTTTCACTCCTGTATGAGTCCTCTGGTGAATCTCCAGGTTGGAATTATCCTGGAAACTTTTTCCACAATCCAAACACTCATATGGTTTATCTCCTGTGTGAGTCTTCCGATGTCTCACCAGATGGGAATTACGACTGAAACTTTTCCTACAAACTGGACACTCATATGGTTTCTCACCCGTATGAGTTCTCTGGTGAATCACCAGGTTGAAATTATCCTGGAAACTTTTCCCACAATCTGAACACTTATATGGTTTTTCTACTATGTGAGTCCTCCGATGTCTCATCAGGTGGGGATTCTGACTGAAACTTTTCCCACAATCTGGACACTCATATGGTTTCTCTCCCATATGAGTTCTCTGGTGAATCACCAGGTCAGAATTATCCTGGAAACTTTTCCCACAATCCAAACACTTATATGGTTTGTCTGCTATGTGAGTCCTCCGATGTCTCACCAAGTGGGAATTCTGACTGAAGCTTTTCCCACAATCTGGACACTCATACGGCTTCTCTCCCGTATGAGTCCTCTGATGGATCACCAGGTTGGAATTCTGACTAAAACTTTTCCCACATTGTGGACACTCATATGGTTTCTGTCCTGTATGAGTCCTCTGGTGTATCACCAGGTTGGAATTATCCTGGAAACTTTTCCCACAATACAAACACTCATATGGTTTTTCTATTGTGTGAGTCCTCCGATGTCTCATCAGGTGGGAAATCTGACTGAAACTTTTCCTACAATCTGGACACTCATACGGCTTCTCTCCCGTGTGAGTCCTCTGGTGAATCACCAGGTTGGAATTGAGACTGAAACTTTTCTCACAATCCGGGCACTTGTATGGTTTCTCTCCGGAGTGAGTCCTCTGGTGTACCACCAGGCTCGAATTCTGAGAGAAATCTTTCCCACAATCACAACACTTATATGGTTTTTCTCCTGAGTGGGTCCTCTGATGATCCACCAGGTGGGAATTCTGACTGAAACTTTTCCCACAATCTGGACATTCATATGGTTTCTCTCCCGTGTGAATTCTTTTGTGTATCACCAGGGCAGAATCCCATGTGAATCTTTTCCCACAATCCAGACATTCAAAGGGTTTCTGCCTAGGGTGAGTCCTCTTGTGTCTCACCAGATTGGTCTGCATGTTAAATCCTTTGCCACATTGGGAGTACTGGTAAAGCTTGTCTCCAGTATGGGTCTTTCCCTTAATCATGAGGAAGAGTTTTTGAGTAAAGCTTTTGCTGCACTCCAAATATTTTTCATTAGATGGATGCTCTCTTCCATTTCAGTTGTGATCTGCAATCCGTGTTTTCCTCATGATAGACAGCCTGTGCTATTTTTCCCGCACTGATATTCTTGGACTCTTGATGAGGCCGAAAATATTTCCGATCTATTACTTAGAGGTTCTTTGAGTCAAGTCAGTCTTTCCTTTGTCAAGAACCTTCATTCATAGCTGTCCATTTTGGCTGTCCAAGGAACCTTTTCTTTCCCACTGTCTTCCAGTTGTTTCCACTTTTTGGTTACTCCAATATTATTCCCCTTGACTTCTTAGATAATGTTTCCTTCAGTTCCACATACTCTTATTTTTTTCCATCTCAAATCTTTGTTCTTGTTATTCTCTCCCTTGTCTTTCATCTGCTGAAGAAGGAGAAGAGTTTTTAAACTTTCAGGAAGATCCACCCCTCAGGAGCTCCATTTTGGCCTGCAACATGTTGGGAACAGCCTGCAGAGGACTGAATAGAGTCTGAGGGGCAGATTCACCCCTCAGCACCCCAATTTTGAGATGCAACATGAAGAACTAATATTGCAGAGCCTCTGCGGTTGTTCATAAGGGCGAACAACTGCCACAGTGCTGCAAGATTCATACTTTCAAGACTTTTTCATAACGCTAGGGGGCAACCTTGTTACTAATACTACTTCTTTTTCTTCTCCTGGTTGGAGCACAGAGCGGGGCGCACAGCAAGTTGCCCCATGGAGCCATGGCTGGCCTTCCTCAGCCTTCCCCACACGGAAGGAAACTGCTGCCTCCTGCGGGGGCTCTTTCAATCCTACCTGCAGCCCCCTTGGGCCCTGCAAGGCCACCCATCTCCATGCGGGCCCCATCCAGATGGGTAGCCAAGAATACTGTTGGGTGGCAGCTAGGCCTGTAGAGTGCCGATGCTGGCAGTGGCGAGAGCAGCCCGTTCCCTCCTGCTTCCACTCCCGTTCCATCGCTGGTGCCTGTGGTGGGGACACACTTGTTGTTTGCTCCTGCAGTTGGACAGAGGCAAGAAACCTACTTGAAGCGCCAAGGCACAATTCCCCATCCTGAATGGATTCTGTGCACGCAACTGAAACCGTCTGCAGAAAAATCAATCCCATCTCATCGAATTGATGTTTCGGCACAAGGGACAGAGCTTTGAGTGGGTTTGTTGCTTCTTTCCTGCTGCATGCAGTAAAGCAAACAAGCGTGGACAGGCCAAGCTGGAGGAGTGCTGGAGGATGACGTTGGACGGCGGAGTGCACAGGGGCCGCGGTGTGGTACTACTCCCAACCTGCCTCCTGCCTTTCCCAATCTGTTTGGTGATAGTGCTGCATGGCCTTCCTTGCCAGGAAGGAGACCGCTGAGTCTTGCGGGGCCTTTCCATCTTTCCTGCAACCACAATTCCCCTTGGGCCATCCATCTCCATGCAGGCCCCATCCAGAAGGATGGCCAAGGATACTATTGGGGCGGCAGGGCCTGCAGAGCCCTGATGCTGATGGCGGAGGTGGCCAGAACAGCTCTCCCCATCTCACACAGCAGCCCACCGGGCGCCTCCTGCCGCCGCTCCCATTGCATCGGCAGTTGCCGTGGAAGTGGCCAGGACATGCTTGTTCGCTTCACTCCTACAGAGGGAAAGAGGCAAGAAACCCAGTTTTTGTCCACTGCTACACCCAAACGTCAACTTGACAAGAAGGGATTGATTTTTCTGCAGAGTTTCAGGAGGCTGACCTGAATCCACTCAGGCTGCAGGGTTTACAACTGAACGGATCAGGTGAGGCATAGGGTGGTGTGTGTGTGTGTGTGTGTGTGTGTGTGTATGTGTGCTGTGGTGCAGCCCATGTGCTCCACTCCTGCCATCCAATGTCATCTCAATGCTGCTCACCCCACATTTGCAGAGGAGCTGGCTGCCAGCTGAGATGGGAGAAGGGGTTGTTCTGCCTGCCGACACTACCAGCATCAGAACTCTGCAAGATCTACTGCACCAACAGTATCCAGACAGGGCCTGTGTGGAGATGAATGGCCTTGAAGGGTCCGAGAGGGACTGTGGCTGCAAAAAGGATGGAAAGGGCCCGCAAGGACCCAGTAGTTACCTTCCTGCCAGGGAAGGCCAAGGAAGGCTGGCCGGTGCTCCACAGGGTAGCCTGCTTTGTGCTCCACCCCAGCAATGGACTCCCAAGGATACTAACTGCATCCTAATCCTCTCCCTGCGTCCCCTCATGGGCGGTGGAACCAGTCCCCTGGACGCACTATGCACCTGCTTGTGTGAAAAAACTAAGCCCTGGTGGGTCTTTTCTAGCAAAAAGTAATAAAGACCAGGTCCTATTTTCTGGGAAACAAGGTAGATAGGAGGTATTATTTTTCTATCTGCATTTTTGCTGGGCCTAAATCTCACTAGAGGGCAGAATTCCTCTGAGCAGCCATCCCTATTTCCAGAGAAGTTAGCATTCCACCACTGAATAATCCCAGGCAGCTTGGGCAAAACATTTGGGATGCACTAGTTTGTAGAAAGCTAATCTAAAGTGTCCTGCACTTCAGTAGTTGGCTCTCAAAATCTCTCTACATCCCAAAATTTTATGACTGATTTCCTTTGGCTCCCAAGGATTTAGGACATGGAAGCACCAGCAGGCCAGAGGCTCCAAGGGAACTAGCCTCACTCCTGCTGGCCTGGACTGATTGTAAGTCTGCTAAATGCCAGGTGTTTCTGCATTTTGCTCAGCACAGAAATCTCTCTTAAGTCAAAGTGAGGGAGATACGTACATAGCAGGGCCTAGAAAAAGGGCAGCTGAAATAGAAGCTGCCTGTATTTGGTAAACAAAACTCTTTTCAAAGAAATGTTTCAAATTCTTGTAAAAAGAATGATACTCAATCGCACATATATGCATGCCAATTCACACAGAAATACACGACTAAGGATTTGTTTATCTACACAATTATGTCTACTTCAGTGTGCAAAATGTCCCCAAAATGCGTTCAAAAATTTTTTTATCCAGTTTTAGAAATCTGGAGCGTTAACAGAAGAGACAGGGAGCATTTCCTAGGCAAGATTGAAAGCATCTGTTCCGCCCATTGAAATGCCTCCTTGCCAGGAAGACAACATGTCAATAACGCCACAAGGAAAGAAGTGTTGCGTGAAGGGCGAGGGTTTTTTTGGCAGTTTAAAAATGATTTTTTAAAAAAAATCTCCCCAAATTCCCAACCGAAAATCGCAGCCAGCTGCGTTAGATCATTCAACATAAAGATAATAAGCAGCAGCCCACGTGGGTCAGCCT